ATCCGTAGTGAAATGATTAGTGCGGGTAAGCAATTTAATATAGCCATCACCTGCCATGGTTACCTTTTTATTCTTTTTTATAGTAAGAGCACTTAAAATCTACTCTCTCAGCAAATTTCCAGTGTACAATACAATATTATTAGCTATAGTCTTCCTGCCGTACGTTAGATCTCTAGACTTATTTATCCTACATAACTTCAAGTTTGTACTCTTAGAACTACATCTTCCTATTTCCTCCCCTTCCTTGCCCCTGGCAACCACCATTCTGCTATTTCTAGGTATTTGCCTTTTTTTTAAATTCCACATATAAGTGAGATCATGCAGTATTTTTCTTTCTGTGTCTGGCTTACTTCACTTAGGATAATGTCTTCCATATCCATCCACGTTATTGCAACTGGTAGTGTCTCCTTTTTTTTTAAGGGTAAATAATATTGTGTGTATATACCCCAATTTTTTTTACCCACTCATGCTTCCACAAACACTTAGGTTGTTTCCATATCTTGGCTGTATGAATAAGGGGAAAAGCTCCTGGACATTGGCCTTGGCAATGATTTTTTAGATATCATACCAAAAGCACAGACAACAAAAGCAAAAATGAGTAAGTGGGACTACATCAAACTAAAAAACTTTTGCATAGCAAAGGAAATAATAAAAAAAAATGAAAAGGCAGCCTATGGATCAGAAGAAAATATTTGCAAACCATATATTCAATAAGGAGTTAACATCCACAATAAAGAACTCACACAATTAAATAACAAAAACCCCAAATAATCCAATTAAAAATGGGCAACAGACCTGAATAGACATTTTCCCAAAGAAGACATAAACATGGCCAACAGGTATAGAAAAGGTTCTCAACATCAGTAATTATCAGGGAAATGCAAATCAAAACCACAATGAGATGTCACCTCATACCTGTTAGAATGGCTATTACCAAAAAGTTAAGATGTTGGGGAGGAAGTGGAGCAAGGGGAACCCTAGTGCACTGTTGGTGGGAATGTAGTTTGGCACAGCCATTACGGAAAACAGTATGGAGGGTCCTCAAAAATTTAAAAATAGACTTACCATGTGGTCCAGCATCCTTCTTCCGGGTATATAACCGAAGGAAAGGAACTCAGTACCTTAAGGAGATACTGCACTCGTGTATTCACTGTGTGCATTTTAAATGACTGAGGCAGCCATGTGTAAGTTTGGGGTCTACTGCTTCTGGGCGACCTGTTTCCTTGGGCGTGGTCTCTAGCTTCACAGGCTGCCCTCAGGTCCTCGAGGACCCAGCCAGTGCGTCGAAAGTGGGGCAGTGTTTGCTAGGGCCTAAGGGGCTGTACTTCAATAAAAGTTCAACAGAAGTTACATGGCTCTAACATATTTCCCCAATAGGCTTTAACACTTTGTATGGAATTCTCCTATCCATCTGATCTTTAAATTAAAAATTAAACATAAATATGTCATCTGAGAGAGGTCGTGCAGTAAAGTACAACTGCCCAGAAACTAGGTTCTCATCCTGGAGTTCTTCCTCTCTCTTATCAACTAACTCTCCACCTCCCTCATTTAATCAAAGTAAGTTCCAGGAGTTTTCTTCCCAAATAGTCCTCAGACCCATCTGTCTATTCTTCATCATTCCCACCACCACCCGCTCCCTTCAGGCGACAGAACGGAAACTCTGGAACCAAACTCTTTGGGTCTTAATCTCATCCCTGCCACTTGCCAGCTATATGACCTTGTGCAAATTAAGGTAGTGAAGCAGCTACCGATGACAATGACGAACTGGTGGCTTCCTGCTCCCGCCCCTCCTGTATCATCTTCAAATCTTTGGTGTTGCCCTGTAGGGGTTCCCTAGGCAAGTGGCTCCAGGGCAGACAAACGTGAGGAAGAAAGCAAACCCTTTGGGCACAGCGGCTTGGTGGCATGTGGACAGCCTTGCCTCTTGCACTGCTTGGAGAGCATCATGCCCACCCTCACAACTGGGCTCAGGCTTTGGTGACTGATGTGGACTGAATGTTTGTGTCCCCTCAGATTCATCCATTGAAGCTCAAACCTCCAGCTTGACTGTATTTGGAGATAGGGCCTGCGAAGAAGTGACAAAGGTTAAATGAGGTCATAAGTGCGGGGCCCTGATCCAGTAGGGCTGGTGCCCTGATAAGAAGAGGAAGAGACCCCAGAGCACTTTCTCTCTGTCTGTCTGTCTGTCTGTCTCTCCCTCTGCACATGCACTGAGGAAAGGCCACGTGAGGACATAGCTAGAATGCTGCCACCTGTGAGCCAGGAAGAACGCCCTCACCAGAAACCCAGTCAGCCGTAACCGGGTCTTGGACGTGCAGCCTCCTGAACTGTAAGAAGTAAATGTCTGTTGTTTGGGCCCCCCAGTCTCTGGTTCTGCTATGGCAGCCCAAGCAGACTAATACAAGGACCATTTAAGCAAGATTTTTAATGTTTCTGAGCAAAGCCTCATTTCCTTATCTGTAGAATAATTATGCCTGCATTTATTTATTTAAAAAAAAAAAAAAAACTGGCCCAGGCTTAGTATAGGGAAATGTTCATTTCCAATAAAACTCATTAATAGGGAGGCCAGTCTACAGTCATCCTTCTTATAATGATTTATTTTTTTGGACAGTCTCAATTTTTTTTTTTTTGAGGAAAAAAAGTCTATAAATGAATGAAGGAAAGAGAGAAAGAAAACAATCAACTGAACATGCAGGGCTGTTCTCCAAAGAATCATCCGTCACCATGTCCTGCCACCTGCCACCTCTGCTTCCTGAATTTCTCCTGAATCCTTCTGCTCCTCCGTACACCCACTGCTGAAGTTCTCACCACTCTCCTCCCCTCTCCTCTGTTCCACTCGTGCCCTCTCCTCCTCCCCTCCGCTGTCCTCCCCGCAGTTCCCCCAAGGTCTCCGCGACCCCAGTCTTTCTTCCTTTCAGTCACCTCCAGGCGGCAGCCGGAACAGTCCTTCTCAGATGCTAACCTGTCAGTCTCGCTTCTCTGTTCCTGACCCCCCTGCTCTGCAGATAAAACCCGAAGTCTCCAGTGTGACTCACGAGGCGCCTCAGGGTCTCTCCCCTCTCAGACGTAGCCTTCTGTGAGCCAGCAACGCTGAATTTCTTTCAGTCCCTCAAAAGCCCCAAGCTCTCATTTCTCTGGGTCCTCTGCTTAAGACATTCCACTGCCTCTTACACTAGAGGCTGATTTCATTGTTTCTTATCCTTGAAGTCTCAGCTGTGCTCACTGCCTTCCAGAAGCTTCCTCTGATCCCCATGCAGGATAAGCATGCCGTGCTTCCCTGATACCCTGCTCCCTGTTGTTACATGCCGTTCTGCCACCACCTGTGTTTCCTCTTCGCCCATATTTCCTCACTCCCATCAGCTCCATGAGGGCAGGGACTCTGACTACCTTGTACCTTCAACATCCGGCACAGCGTGTGGCACTGAAGGGGCTCTGTGTAGACTATAAACAATTGTACCAGTTACCTCAGTTCAGAGAAATGCTTGCAAACTGATTTTATCAAACACCTCACTTCTGGAATATCCCTTTTTAATGCTTCTGCTTGGGCCCACATTAACGTTTGCCTTTTCTTTTCCTGTCATTCACTCCAGACCACATGAGGGCCGGGCATGTGACAATTATCTCAAATAAGCCCAACTTTACTACCTACCATTACTGAGTAATTAAGGACCTTTCTGGGTCCCTGTCACATGCCTACGTCTGGAATGTGTTTTCCTTCCAACACGGTCCTGCTGAGAACGGTGCACGCCAAGGAGAAAGCAGTGACTCTGCAGTGGGAGGGAGGTGGAGAGTCTCCCACACTAACCGTTTGTGTGGGGTTCCCACATGGAAGGAAACCAGAATGGTAGGAAAGAATAAAGGGCAAGAGACAGAGAATAAAGGGCAACACATGTTACGTCTCATGTTCTGTAATGCCGTGGTCCCCAACCCCTGGGCCCATGGCCTGTTAGGAACCGGGCCACACAGCAGGAGGTGAGTGGCAGGCAAGGGAACAAAGAAAGCTTCATCTGTATTTGCAGCCGCTCCCCATCACTCACATCACTGCCTGAGCTCCACCTCCTGACAGATCAGCGAGGGCATTAGAGCCTCATAGGAGCTCGAACTCTACTGTGAACTGCGCATGCGAGGGATCTAGGTTGTGTCCTCCTTATGAGAATCTAATGCTGATGATCTGAAGTGAGGCTGAGGAGGTGATGCTAGCACTGGGGAGAGGCTGCAAATACAGATCATCATTAGCAGAGAGGTCTGACTGCACAATAAATGTAATGCACTTGAATCACTCTGAAACCGTCTCCCCTCAACCCGCTGTCCTGTAGAAAAATTGTCTTCCATGAAACTGGTCCCTGGTGCCAAAAAGGTTGGGGACCACTGTTGTAGAGGACGTTGTGGTTATGAGCTATTCTTTTCTTTTTCTGGTTCTTTCTTGTGCACACAGAAATCACATAGGCTGTTTCATCGAGTCTCCATGAGTAAGAAGCCTACCCCCAAGAGGGACATGAAAGGAAGGGTTTTCCTAATGCTGAAATCCCCCCTAGAAGGGCAAGTGTTTGTCATCAACCTCTGCAGGGTCTAACTTTGCAGCAGCCCTAGTGTCATTCCATCTTCTGCCCCCTGCACCCTAAATTAGGAACAGCAGGTTGGCCTGGTAACTGCAAGGCTAGGGGTTTCCCTTGGACAATGTGCTCTCAGAAGATGCCTCAGGAAGGACGACAGAGCCTTGCCCAAGCTCCAGCTGTGTCTCTGGCACAAAGACCCTGTGTTTACATGCTAAGGGTGTTTTGTTCATACACAGTTAGCGTGTTTGTTCAGTTATGCACTGCCTTCATTGTTTTATAGAAAACAATATATAGTAAGTCACATAATTCACAAATTTTGGAAGCCTTGTTTTAGATGGACACAATGGGCATTTCTCATACAGATTCATGAAACTGTGAGTCGAACATGAAGGAATCTGACAATAATAGTCTTTGTTGCTTGTTTTTTAAATTTATTAATTTTAGGTCTGGAGTTCAAACTCTGCCCCACAATGCCAAGGTTCACTACAACTATGCCAATTTTCTGAAGGACCAAGGTCGGAACAAGGAAGCAATCTACCACTACAGAACGGCCCTCAAGTAAGCGCCATACGGGGGGTGTTGGCTGTTGTGTTCTGGTGACTCTTGTTTATTTCCCTTGTCTCCTCCCCGTATGTGGGGGTTTGTTTCTCTTGACAGGGAACATATTCGCAGAGGTGGTGCAGTTCTTTAACTCTCAGTCTTTTAGCTTAGTACTCAAGTGTGGTGTAAGTGTGATAATTCTACCTTGCTTCTAACTCTTTGTGTTTTCTTGTAAAAGCATTCACTGCTACACATTATTCAATGAAGTGACACTCAGTTTAATTATATACATATATATAAGGTATTTATTCCAATGAGGTATTTATTCCAATGAATTCTTAATGCTGTGTATGTGGAAGGCTCTAGGTCTTCTCTGTCTGAAAGAACTTGCATGATGACATTTGAGTATAGAGATGAAATGCCCTGGTAGTTGTATTACTCAGAAAGAAAATGATAAGACAATTGATTACCATGCTGGAAATATGTTAATTGTGTGTGCGTGTGTGTGTATATGTACATTATCTGACACTCTTCTTGGATTCTTCCAGTGAAAGAGAGAATACGTAACATGTCCGTAGATACGATTTTAGGGGAAACGAAAAATGTAAGTTCTGCATTATCAGCAGCCATATGTAGATACTCTTTTGAATTGCAGCTCTGACTTTTAAGGTGATTTTCTCTAAAAGGTCCCAGATAATAAATGTACTTAACCTTCAACTCATGGAAGCATGATAATTAAACACAGCCTTGCAATCTCCAATTGTAGACAAAATAAAACAAGCTGTATCCTCTCCTTTATGGAAGACTGTGATGCTCATAGAAGCCTTTTGAAGATGCTTCTTTACCTCCACAGACTGGCCCACATTTGCTTGAATTTTCTGAGACTGTTCCGCTTTGGAATATGCTTAAAATACATTTACCAGCCAAATCATAAATTTCACTAGGATTGCCTCAAGACTTAGTTTTAAATTGTCATGGTTATGTTCTACATAAGCATATTGTTCATCGATCAAAATCTTTTAGACTTGAGGGCCTGTTACTTAATATTCCTTATGGCAAAAGTTTTAAGCCATACATATTGTTTGCTGTCAGATACTTTCCCAAATATTATAAGAAATGTAAGTCCTAGAGGAATAATTATAACCAAGCTTTTCGTTGAAGAATAGAAGTTTTTATTAGGGAATAGAAGGTAGTTTTAAGATTTAATAAAGAATTATATTCTTTCACTTGAAGGTATTTGCCAAAATGTTTACAATGCTTACCTCTGGTAGGTACAATTATGATTTTTTTTTCCTTTATATTTTCTTATGTGTTCCTTGTGTTCCACAATGAACATCTATTACTTCTACAATGAGAAAATGTCATTTTAAAAAAGGCATATTCCTTCAAGGGTACATATAAAGTATATTTTGGCTTTACTAATTAATGTTTAACAATTTTAGATGGTATTCTTGAAGGAAGGAAAAAGAGAACTAAGTTTGCTAGAGAATATTGGTTAAAAGGAAGTGTATCAATATATTTTTAAATTTGTTTTATTATAACAGACTATTTTCTGTCAAGTTCAGACAGAAAAATAAGGCAGAGACTAAGGCACAGCTTGGGACAAAGGTATAAATTAAGCAAAATTCTCTGGCAGTTGATTTTACAGAATTATAGGTAGTTGGGTACTTCTGCTTCTTTCCCGTGAAACAATAAAAATAAATGTTTGCTTCAGCAACTGCACTTCTGGAAGAAATATGTCTCTTGAGAAATGGGTAAAAACAATTAAAACTATAAATATACTGCACAGTAATTAGTGAAATATTTTATGCTCTCAGACTAGGTTCAAAATGCTTCTGATTATAATATTTTTTTGTGGATACCTCTGTGGTGAATTTTCAATGGATGTGGGTGTTTCTGTTTTTGCTTTTATAAAAAAAAATAAATTGTCACTCTTTGTGTTAGAGAGAAAAGGAAGATGCCAGGACTATTCATCATGTTGATGGTTATTTATCCTTGGTGACTGGAAGATTGCCCTTATTGTGATATTGCTATCTCTTTGTGGAAGTTGCTGAGACATGGATTCCTCTATCTCCAACTATTCCACCGCTACCTCAACTTTAATGTATCTGATGTTTGCCATATTTGCACACAGCAAGAAAGAGAGTGATTAGGGAAATGCAAGGTTAAAGGCGTTATTATCTGAAATCAGTTCCAACAATTATCCGTTACTGTTGTAATGACTGTATAGATCCCAAAGGCAATACTGAAGTCAGTCACAAGGGTTGTATCTATACCAGTCTCTCTCTGGCTGGCTTATAATTCTAAAAATAGCACTATATTAAGTTGGTAATGATAAATGACATAAATATTCTGCTTCTTTTAAACTTTGTTTATTTTGTAAATAATGCAGAAGTACCAGTGACTTCTCCACCCTTTTGGTAGACCTTATTTATTATATTTCTGTAATACAAAGGAAATCTCCCCTGGAAAATGCTGTAGCTAAGGTTATGTATTCGGTTTAAGACCCAAATCATCAAAGAAAAATGTCAGAACTCTTTCCTTAAATCCTCAATAAACACGAGTGTTAGCTTTGCTTTGCAGTGAGGGGCAGCTCTCATGTTTATACCTACTGCAGTACTATAAAGCCTGGGATTCTCTATATTGGAGAATCAGAAAAACACTAGCGTATCTGCCATATGCCTCCAGAGCGTTCCGACCGTTCAGTTACCCTGGAGAACATTTCTAACATTCCACCTCACATGGTGGGGATAGAAAGTTCAGAGACCACCCAACAATTCAGCTCTTCCTACACAAGAACTCCCAGGAAATGCCTAGTCCAATAAGCCCAAAAGGAGAAATAGTGACCCTGCCTGAATAAAGTGGAAAGATACTAAATGTTTACTCGGCCACTTATGTACATGGTTGATTAGCTTAAAAAGTCAGTTAAAAGTGGAGAATCATAAAACAAATTAAGCACACTCTTGAGTATTTTATTTTACCCTGAAATTTCATATGTACATCTATTCACCTATCTTCTAATGTCAAATCAAGTCCTTTTCTTTAAGAGTCTACTGATTAGAATCTGCAAAAACCACATCCATAATTCATTGCTATGATTATCAGTTTTGATATTTTAAATTGGAATAAAAATTTTAAGACATTTGCAAAGTAATTTGAGTAGACTGAGATTTTTCTGATTTTTCTCTGCTACTCTTATAGTTACTTCACTCACATCTAATTCAACAGTGATTTTTTTTGAACTGTCCTTTTTTGGGTATTTTCAGAGTATTTACTTTTTTCCATAGAAATAATTTTTTTCACACTTAAATTTTTATCAGTTTACAAGACCAGCCTCTTTTATATTAGCAAAGCTAAATTTTCTATTGCATTTTTAATGTTTCTATACAAAAGAAATCTGCACCCACTACTTAATTGGCTAACACAGGGTAAAGGAGAGAACTAAAATCTTTCTAATTGGAATTCGTTGAATGCGTGAAATAGAGACTATCGTGATAATAGTGTCTAATTGATATAAAATTCTTTGTACTCCTTCCTGTATGGATAACTGGAACTCTTCAAGGAGATTCCATTAAACTGTGATAAATGCCTATGGAAAAAAGGAAGTAATAATTGAGTGAGTACTGAAGAAATACCATATAGTTAGAGTCTAAAGAAGTCTGACCATGACTAAATAACCACTGTTCTTTGATGTCTTAAGCATATCAATAAGATTACTTTATTATAATTCCTTTTAATAATGCTGTTTATAAAACTATTGTCAGTTAAGTTCAAACAGAGAAATAAGACATACCCTAAGGCACAGCTCGGTGTGAAGTTTGAACATGTTTTAATAATCAAGAGTCAATGAGTATTTAAAAAGTCCTTTACACAGCCTATTTTGAATAAACATTTTAAAATAACTCTCTCATGACTACAGGTGGCCTTGGATACCATCTGCCATGTATTTCTGGGAAGAATTAAAATTCCAGTAACATTTGTTAGCCAGGTTTAACAAGTAGAGATGGATTCTTTAGCTGGTGTGCTATTTTCATTTATAAAAGTCTAGATATGCTTTCTAATATCACAAGTAGACACTTGAAATTATTTTTGTTTCTTGTTGATGAAATTACATTCTCACCATGTGTGTGTGTATATATATATATATGTTGCATTATTAAATCTGGCAGTTTTATTCATTAAACTCAAGAAATTAAACATTATTTTGTTTAGAAATGAACTAGAATTTAAGTCATGTTGTGACCATTACTTATGAACTGAATTTCAATGTGAAAGCTCCATAATTTATCTTCAAAAAAGTTTCACTCTCTCTGGCTGTCTTTTTTTTGCCTTATGCCACTTTTTCACTTAAAAAACTCACTTAGGCATTGTTCCCCAAGACACAGACTCCAAGGCAGAGATTTGCATGCAGGAAGATTATTAAGGAGTGCCCTCGGGAACACCGAGGAGGCAGGATGGACAGAGGGAGATGTTGAGATGCAGTGCAGTTCCAACGGAGGCCTCAGCCCATCCCATGGGGAGTGTGGAGCTGGGATGGCACCTCAGTTGTCCCAAATGGAGGGAAGAGATTTGCCTTTACACCACTCCCTTTTCAACCAGTTACTGCTGCCAGGACAGGAGTATAGCCTCGGGCAAAGCAGCTCCCTGAGGCTGAGAGCAATGCCCAGAGAGGAGCTGGGCTCTGAGCTGTCAGCAGCCACCACTCCTAGCAACCAGGGGGAACATACCTGACACTCACAAGGGGACTCTGGGTGAAGCAACATGGCATCCAGTACACCAGCTTCATTTCTAACTCTTATATAAGCAAATATGACAGTTTTAGCAGAATAAGGTTTAGATTTTCTGTTAAAATGAGAATAGGGAGGCTACCTACCTCAGACGGTTGGAGGATTACAAGATATAAAAGGCTGAAAGTGTATGTTTAGATACGTGGCCATGACACACTCAGTAAATGTGACTAGCATAGGCAGAATCTGAGCACCACCTTCCACCTCTGCTGCCCCATCGCCTCTCATCTG